CACCATAACTCCCATAGTTTAGTTTAGGCTCATTCAGGTAATGCAGGATTTCTATCATCAACCGTAGTGGGGTTCCAGAGAGGAGTTTGGAGCTTCGGATTAGGGCTTAGGATTTAGTGTTTTAGGGTTTAGGGCTGCAGGCTTGTAGGGTTGCCGGGTTCGGGCACTACCTATAGTCTCCATTGTAGTTCCTTTTTCTGGTTAACCAAAATCTCTATTATAGGATCCTAACCATAAAGCTGGTTAACCCAAAAAAGGAACTACAATGGAGACTATACGTAGGATGAGCGCTGGGCTTCAGGGTGTAGCGAAGTGCCGCAGACCTCGCCGTCCTACCCCAGCTTTGAAGCAAAGCAGCAGCCAGCTCCTCAAGGAGGTGATCCTCCACGACCTGAAGAGTTTTGGCTCCAGGATAATACACGGTTGCTTTTTCTTGTTCTCACTTTTTCCCGGTTTAGGGTGTAGGTTTGACGGAAATACTCGCAACTATGCCACATTATCGTCCTTGGCATTAGTCTAATTATACAAAACTCTGTCCTACTCATTAAGGCCCCTGTATTTGGGGCGTTTCGTAGCAGGCCTGAATAGTTGGCAGCATTGCCAGTTCGGAATCCCTGGTAGAGATTCTCGACCTCTATAGTCGGGGATTTTAAGGTTTAGGGTGTAGGGCTCGGGGTTAGGGTTTGTGTCTTCGGGTTTAGGGTTTAGTGTTTAGGGCTTAGGGGATAGGGCTTAGGGTTGAGTGTTGAGGGCGCGATGCAAAGCAAAACCAAACCATCACCATCACTACCAGTGGAAAAGCCCTTCACTAAGCCCCAAACCCTGAAAACCAGATCCTAGACCAAGCCAACTCGATATCAACATGTCCGAAGCTCTCCACTTAAAGGATGATGGGACTTGGTAAGCAAGGCTATTTTTGCGTAGCTATACTTTCAACTACTTATTACGTATAACCCCGATTAGGGTATAACCATACTTAGTAAGTCCCATGATCCTCCAAGCAAGCTTGTGCTTCCCAGCTGCATGTTTCGTGATCCACGGCGTGAGTGCCTGTATGAGATCTCCGGGCTCGGGAGCGGTTCACGATTTGGGTACTACAAGGGCTCTTATCGTCATTGGAGTAGAATTTGGGGGGTATTTTATACGACATGGACCTGGGATCTTCAAGACAGGGGCGACCCTAACTTTCAGAAGTCAGTGGATACTCACAGCCGCACCGTCAACAAGCTTCGAACACGAGAGGAGTTGGCCAAGATCAGAAAGCACTCCCTGCCCAAACTCTCTCCAAGTCCTGCCGGCAAGACCCCGAAGCCTTACATCCTAGAGTATATTCAGGGTTCAAGGTTACGGGTTAAGGTCCTGAAAACCGAAACCCGGCCCCCCAGCTTCATGGTTCATGAGAGTAGTTGTAAGTAGTGGAAACTTCTCCAATACGGTTCTACGTAGTGAGAACCCTGATTATGTCGTCTCTAGCAACTCTCACCTACCAAGCCTCCTGTGCTTTTCAGTTAACCACTGACACTGAGTCCTCTAGCGCACGGTTTACTAGGATGTTCCGACTGCTGTTTAGGGTTTGGGGCTTAGGGCTATGCATGTCAGCACGAGATGGGGAACCCTAAACCCTAAACTCTAAAACCCTAGACCCTAAAGAGTACACCCTAACTAGACCCTAAAACCTGTAGATCCTAAGACCCTAAGCCCTAATTAACACCCTGAACCCCAAAACACCTATAGACCCTAAACCCTAAACTGTGAGCCTATGCAGCTCAGGCTGGTGGCCGGAAGGCACTCGCTTGTTTCAGGTGGCGAAGTCTTTATGGCCTCTAGGGCACTTAGTAGAACCCCGAAAGGACGGTTTGCCCCCATAGTGGGTGCCAGTGGCCTGTTGTCAAGGGCAGCAAGTTTTTGAGGAGGCTGCTCTGCTTCTGCGCTGTCCGTCAACCCCTGCTTTGTGCAGCCGCAATCCGATCGGGTCAAGCACACGGCAGCTTATGACGTAGTGGAACAAGTGAGCAGCGTATAGCGCTCTCGAATTGGCACGATCGAACTGTTCAGAAGCCGCTGCTTCCATTGCAGGCATACTGGCGCAGTGTCCCATGGGCCATCTCAGAATGCCAGTGGCATAATTGTCAAGAGCAGCTCTTTAAAAAGGGCTTAGGGTTTAGACCCTTTAGAAACCTGACAGCACCCTTCTACAGCCCTTACAGAAGCCTGATAGCGACCCTCTAGAAACTTTATCGAACACTTGCAGCACCCGTGCAGAACCTCCGTGGAACACTTATAGAACCCATTGAAGATCTCACAAAGACGCTTACAGAACCCTGATATTCTGGAAGAAACCTTTATAACCCTTCTACAATCCTTTAAAGAACCATGGCTAGAACCCGTTTGAAGTACACGTATAGAACTCTTTAAAGAATTTTCTTGAAACTGCATACCCTTTACAGAACCCTTTGAGGTTAAAGACTTACAGAACCCATATAGACAACTTTATAGAACCCTCCCCTTCCGCCACCCTAAACCCTAAACCCCAAACCCACCCCGTCTGCCACCTCAAGGAAGCCCTCTGCAGCGCCCGGAGCGTCGGCGACCCCGCGGCGCAGAGCGCCGAGGAGAGCCGATTGGAACGAAGGGGAGAGCCTTTGGGCGGCATGGAGTCTTTTGGGAGTTTCCGAAAATGGGGGTACCTTATTTTGGGCTCCTTACAATAAGGATCCTACTGTTTAGGGTACTATATTAGGCCTTTCTTTCGGGAAACTCTTAGTAGGATTTCGGGTTTAGGGGTCAGAGTTTAGGGTCTTAGGACTTTAGGGTTTCATGGTTTTAGGGTTTCAGGGGTTAGGGTTTTAGGGGTTCAGGGTTTGGGGTTTAGGGTCTAGGGTGCACGGTCTAGGGTTTAGGAGTTTAGGACTCAGGATTCAGGGTTTAGGGTCTAGCATTCCGGATTTCGGGCATAGATTTTGGGGTCCAGGATTTTGGGTTTTTGGGTTCAGAAGCTCCAATTCGAGCAGTCTCCAGTCGAGATCGCTGCTCCGATTTTTTAATATCTTCCCACCCACTTACTTACGGAATATACCTTTTATCATATTAAGAATCCTACTGCAAGTTAAGGTATATTCCTTAACTATAAGGGACATTGGAGTCTCTGGGCCTTCGAACCCCATAACATCACAAAAATATATGACTTTCTATTCTTTATTGAACCCTAAATTGTGAACCCAACCTAAACCCTAAACCAAGGTCACTAAATCCTGAACCCTGAGGCCTAAATCCTGATCCCCAAGGCCTGAATGCTGAATTCTGGGACCTAAATCCTAAACCCTTTAGGAATTAATCCTGAACCGTAGGGCCTAAATCCTTCATGCTGAACACTGCGACCTAAATCCCAAACCCTCACGGTCCCAAATTCTGATCAGTGGAGCCCGAAGCCGAAACTCAAAGCCCTAAAAACCTGAACCCTGGGACCTATGTCTAGACCCAAGAGTAACCTAGGAATAAAAAGGGTGCCCTTTTTTGTTTAAAGGGGCTTATAAGGGAACCTGAACCCTAAAAAAGGGAATAAGGGCCTACTCTAGGTCCTAGATGTAAATCCTGAACCATTTCGGCCTAAATCCCAAACCGCAGAGCCTAAATCCGAAACCCATGCTGAAACCTGGGACCTAAATCCCAAACCGCGAGGCCCAACTCCTGAACCCTACAAGCCGTTTAGGGTTTAGGGGTTTAGGGGTTTAGGGTTTTAGGGTTTAGGGTTTAGGGGTTTAGGGTTTAGGGTTTAGGGTTTTCGAGGGCCTGGGGCCCCATGACGCCAGCTACTACACAAAGCAGACTAGACAGAACAACACTCTGAAGGGCCTGGGATTTCAATAGGCCCTCCAACTCAACTGCCAATACGCGCTAAAAAATCAAATTCTCGTCGAACCGGTTTCGAGAAGGATTATGGTGCCCTAAACTATGACGGGTCCCAGGCCCCGCGAAAGGCCCCCGAAGGGTTGAAGTGTAAACCTTGATGCCCCCATAGACGACCCTTATAGGAACCCTCAACTGACCCTAGGATCCCTTATAGAACCCCTTGTAGGGATAAAGCAAAAAAGCATTTGCCATTTTTGGGGGGGGGGATCTGGGACCGGTTTTGGGTGTTGCGGTATAGAACAGGGGAGACTGTTGCTAATTATTCAGATGCCCACATGAAACCTCTCAACATGAAAGCCAGGTGCTTCCCCACACCGACGTGCTGCAACAAGCGCTGGGACAAGACATTGCCCAAGTTCGCGCCATTGTCCTTCGAAGATGTATGTAACCCTAAATCCTGAACCCTAAACCCTAATGGTGACCTTAGCATCGCTACCTTGGGGCGAGCGAATGAAGCTCGGGGTTTATTCTGCAGGCTCTAGGGTTTAAGGAGTTGCCGGCCAGGGTATACAAAGGTTTGCTTTTTCTTTTATAACTTCAAAGGGTGCAGGGACCGAGAAGAAAGGTGTCCTACCCAGGTCCTAGTTAGGGTCTGAAGCGCTGAAACACAAATGATTACGGTCTAAAACCCTTCACCCTAAACCCTGACGGCAAGATCCTAAACCCCTCAACCGGTAGACCCCTTGCAAGAGGGAACCCTAAATTGGACAAGCCCATACGTGTCATGGCGCACTATCTTCCTAAACGCCTCAGACCCCCCCCACACCCTAAACCCTACACCCTCTAAACCCTAAACCCTTTCGGCACCTTTCGGATAGCGGTAATGCCTCGGCTGATTGCGGAAGCACTCCTGGTCCGTGGGTAAGACTAACAAGGAAACTGGCAGGAATGGCCAGAAGCCAGCCTGGCAGTAAACCACGCTTCCACACGGAAGGGGAACTCCGGAAGCTTAAACGCAGTTTGGGAAAAGCAGCCGGAGGGCGCTGTCCAAGCAGCACGACTACAGTAGATCGCCGCATCGCGCAGCTCACTTCATTGGTGGTGCCTGGACAGCGGAAAGGCAAGCACAAAGCGCTTGCGCAGGAAGGGTACTACAGGGGTAGACCGCATCGCGCAATATACCTCATTGACACAACCTGTGCAGCAGAAGAAACGAACCCCTTGAAGTTCGAAAAGTTCATGGTGGCATCAAAAGCAGTACTGGCCACCGAGAAGTGCGCACTGCAACGCCGAGTTTGTAGCCTGGACAAGCACACGATAACGAAGAACTCCCCGTCTTCCTGTCGTAAAAGGATGCCATCTTGGGAAGCGAGGACAACGAAGTTGAGCCGGACAGTGTCCACGAAGAGAGAGACGACCAACCACTGAGCAACCAACAAAAACCAGCCACATGTGCCGTATGGGCCGACCAGCCGTCCCCATGGGCCATGCCCCAGATGGAACTGAAACAGAAAGGGCAGCAATGGGACCTCCAGTAAGCTGCAGGTTGCAGGCCTTCTCCCGACAAATGTTGACCCTGATATAGCACAGCAAGATGGGATGCAAGTCATCCCAAAAGGCAAGAAGATCCACGTAGCAAGAACCGAAAACCGCCATGCTGAATGACCACATGTCCTCTCCCTCTGTGCTTCAACCACGAAAGCCTTAGTGCCACCGCAGCTCGTCAAGCAAATGACCTGCGTCGACAATAAACGGTGCAAGATGCCCATGGCGAAAGAAACTAGAAGGAACCTACCACCCGAGCGATCTGCCTGCTCCGCCACACCACTGGAAGGAGCTCGGGCCACCGTGGCTTAAACCCTAAACCCTAAACCGAAAGCCCCTAAACCTAAACCCTAAACCCGAAACCCCTAACCCCAAAAGCCGTAGAGCCCGACAGTGCTATACCCTCAACCTCTGAAACCCAAGCCCCAAACCCTGAATCTTCAACAACCCCGGGCCTCAAACGCCCAAAGCTCAAGCCCTAAATTTATAGGATCCTTAAGGGAGGGTGGTTCAAGGGGGGAGGGTATAAGGAATCCTTAGGGGACCGTAAGGGAACCTTAGGGAGTACTAGGGAGAATTAGGGATCACTAGGCTATATACCCCCCTTGGACCCCCCTCCCTTAAGGATACTATAATAAAGCCCGGAAGCTTGAACCCTATAAACCCTAGACACCACGAGAACCCTAAGAAAACTACTACAGAACCCGAAGAAAGAAGACGTTTGGGTTTGGGGCTTAGGGTTTTTATGCACCAAAAACTACTACAAAACCTTAGGAAAAAGATACCCTAAACCCTATACCCTAAACCCTAGACCCTAAACCCTAAACCCTTAACCAAAAACCCTAAGCTAGAAGATGTCCTGATGCACAATCTTGACAGCCTTCAGGAGCGCCTTGAAGAACTCCTGAGGTGGGCTGCAGGTCAAAGGCAAAGCTCTGTGTTCGAGCTTCACGGTCTGCATTAGGGTTTAGGGTTTAGGATTTAGGGTTTTTGAGTCAGTTAGAGGTTTAGAGTTAGGGCTTTTGGGTATATTATACTCGAGCTATAATACGGAGTCCTGAGGAAACCGCAACCCGTGAATCCCAAACCCAAAGACTGCGACAGGAAAGCGCAGAAAACGACACTGGATCAGGAATCTAGATTGGTTACGATATTTAGGGGCAATTAAGCTTCCGGGCTCACCCACGAGCCGAAGCCAGAAAAAGCAAGAAACCCATACATGTTCAACCCTTGAGTGGCCCGCGATGCTTGAAGATGATGACAAGAGAACATGAGGAGACTAGTATAACTATAACGGTGACGATGATGATGATGCCTTCGGTAAGAACACTGACAGCGACGATGCCGACGGCTATCGAAACAACGCTGGCACACAGCCTCGCTACATTCCGAAAACATCGCGCCTTTTCCACAACTAGGTGTTGCCTGAATATGTGCAGTACGAGAATATCTTGCCAAATACGGCCTCGCACTAGTTGGGCCTGCGACACTCCAACAAGCACTCCTCTTGTGGGATGCTCAAAATCAAAAATCGTATTGGGCACGGAAGTAGGACCAGTCCACAGGTTTTCCATGCTCTCCATCCCTTCCAGCCGAAACTTTGAATTGGCCAACGACTGTTCGCGGTCACGGGTACATGAGCCGTCGATCTTCTGAAAGAAGGGGATATGCACCGTAGTAAAGATGGTTGCACCACGCACCACGCTCCAACTTGATGTAGCCCCACTCGCCCCACTCGTCGCCCCAGCTGTTCTTCACAAGCCAGTAGTCCATGCCCCGCTCCGTGCCATAACCGACCACCAAAATGGAATGGTCAGGAGCATTGTTGCAGGAATCAGTGCTGTAAACGCCACCCCGGTAGAGCTGGAAGGGTTGGGAGAGTTCTAGGCTCGCGGAGACCGGCTGTGTGGCGACAGCTTCCATGAGCATTCGAACGTTGCTCGTCTCCACAGCCATGTAGGGAAAATTCACGTCAAGAAACCCCTCTGGCAAACCCACCTTGCAGTCCTCAGCATACTCCATGCAAAACTCTGTGTCTCTGCCTTCGAAAGGGTAGCTGGCCTCGGTTCAAAGAACATAGGGCCCTGAATGATCAAAAAAAGGTCGTATTTAGGGTTGAGGGGCTGGGGCTCAGGGTTTAGGGTTTAGGATTCAGAGTTTATGGTTTAGGGGATTTGGGGGGGGGGGGGGGTATAAATATAAAAGGGCTGCAACGGGATAAACCCTAAACCACTACTGTATAGTGGCCCTGTAGCGGGCCTCGGTGCAAATAGCCATCCCCGATTGGGACATCCAATCGAAAGCTGACCATGGGTCGCCTTTGCCGCAGCCTGCCACAAAAACCAAAGGGTTGGGGGGTTTACCTTAACCCCACGTAACCTACCTTTTTAAGGACTTATATAAAGAAATCATATTAAGGAACCCTAAAAAGGTAGGTTCCTTAGGGTCCAGGTAGGGTTGAGTTTTTTTTTTGAACGCCTTTTTCGTCCTCGCAACTAAGGTTGGGCGAATCCACCATTGTGGAAGGCTACCTTCGGACTAGGCTTCACGCGTAGTCACCCTTGAGGCCCATAGGGTTGAGGGTTTAGGGTTCAGGGCTTCGGGTTTAGGGTTTTGGGGTGTAGGGTTTTTGGGGCTTTGGGGTTCAGGGTTTAGGGTCTAGGAGTTTAGGGTTCAGGGTTTAGGGGGCATAGGGCCTAAACCCCAAATTTAAAGGCCCGACAGCCAAAAGACCCTAAGACCCTCAACAAAGGCCCTAACACCGCCTGCCAGGAAAAAGTCACCGTTTTCGTATCCATAGCCTTGGCTGTCCAGCTTCCCTTATTAGGGTTGAGGGTTTAGGGTGTAGAGGGTGTAGGGTACCCTTTTAGCTGCTATTCCGTCTCTGGTCTGAAGACACAGAGTCCCCTGAGGATACTACTGGGCGACCTGGTGTGGAAACACTTCAGAGCGACCTAGAAATCTCAACCCCTTATAGAAGTCACTGGAAGCCCTACAAAAATCCATCAGGGTACTACCGTGGTCACCCCTAAAGCAAAAAAAGCTCTTGAAGAATGCTTCGGGCCTTAAGGGTACGGTGGATGATATAAATCCTGCACTACCTTAAGGACCCTAAACTATGGAAATATGGTATCTTCCTTATTATGGGTAGTGCAGGATTTATATTATCAACCGTACGACTGTGCGATCTGGTAGCTGCAGTCACCGACTTGCTGGAAGCTCAGCTGGATGAGCTTTCCGGTCTTGAGTTTCCAAGCCTGCATAGTGTTAGGGTGTAAGCGTTCAGGGCTTCGGGTATCCCCAAACCCTATAAATCCCAAAAGCCTACATCCGTAACCCGTACCCTAAGGGTCCAAGTAGTCCTGATTTATGGTTTTTGGCACCCAAAAAAGGCACCAAAATCCTATAATGAGGAGTACCTGGACCCTTAGGGGTAGGGTCACAGGCATAGGGTCCACGGGTTGCGGTTCTAGTGTTTATGGCCGAAGGTGGTCGAAGGGTTTAAGGTTTAGCACGGGTTCTGAGAGGTTTCAGGGCCCACAAAATTCACATAAGCAGGCAAGAGCACTGGGGAAAGTGAAAACTTATCCCAAATTGCCACCGTGAAGCTCCCTCCAAGGCACCAATGGCACTGATTGCCCAGCAATTTTGGCAATCTTCCTGGTTGACGACCGGCGTAACAGCTCCCTCACTCCTCCAGTCGAATGAGCTGGGCAGACGATAACCTTGCTTGGCGAGCTGCCCTGGCAAGGACTTCGGTGCCTTGGGTGGTACCTTCACAGCTCCTGTTCTCTTCTTCTTGAACTCCTCCGTACTTTCGTCTGCAAACTTGTTAATGCCAAGGGTGTAGGAAAGATTCTTGGTGTTCTGCTGCTGAATGTACCTGTAGTTTTTTGCAAAGGCACTGAACCTTGCAGGCTTCTCGATGTCATCGTAGAACTTGCTGAAGTCCCGCTGGAAAGCCTTGAAGGCTTCCTCCACGTCTTCGAGGCCCTGAAAATCACTCCCCTTCTGGTTTAGGGCTTAGGGTTTAAGATTTATAAGAGACTTTAAAGACTCCGCTTCTTCTTCCTTGAAGGGTTATAAGAGACTTTAAAAACTCCGCTTCTTCTTCCTTGACGGGCTATAAGAGACTTTAAAACTAAACGAATGTCTGCAATCATGCCCCAAGCAGCCTGGACGTTCTCCAGGGGCTTCACCTCTTGCGCGACGACAAGTAAGCCCAGGCACCTAGTCTGTGGTTGGGATAGCATGAAACATTTAATTTTCTATTCCTTCTTGGGTTTAAGTACTCATAAACGTGTATATAAAACGTTACCCAACTATGACAAAGGCACGAAAACGCGAGCGCTCGCAGCATGTCAGCGGCTCTTCGGCGGAATGGGGCTTTTGCGTTGACCTACTACTTCGCAAATGGCTGCGCGCTCGCAAGCAGTAGCTATCGAAACAGCTTTGGGCAAAAAGGTTTAGGGGTGCTTGCACACAAAGCATCACTAAATGTTACGCCGACCTCTGCACTCAGCACCCCCTAACTAGCAAGGTGCAAGGTTTCTTTGGCAGAATGCTCAGCGTAGTCGTTGCAAGCAGATAGCCTTGTGCCTACTACTCTGCCTTTGTATGGAGACCCCCCCAGAAGAAGCTTATATGGGATGGGTTACGGATTGTGTTGGCACGGCTTTTCTCAGAGTGTTGCTAGACCGCAAAGCCTTAAGGCCTAATCCCTAGATTATCCACCCGAAACCGATGATCACGTGTTTGTCCCCAAACCTCTACTAAAAGTCCTCCCACGCTAGCTTGAAAGCTTAGGGCACAAACGTCAGCCAAATTTAGGAGTGAGGATTACGGGGACCCTGGGCGATATAGACCCTCTCAATAAGGTCCCTTTCAAGAGAGCCAAAAGTAGGTCCCCTTTAAGGGGTCTGCCTAATACTTTAGAAGCTGCCCCCACCCTGTAATAGTGACCATAAGGATTATATAGGATTATATTAGGGCCTTATTATATTCCTATTATACCACTATTACGGGGTGGGGGCAGCTTCTAGCTGATACTAGGTTGGACTTAAGTCCCCTTACTAGATGTCGATCTCAACAGTCCCCCAAAGTAAACCCCAATAATACCCCTTGTAGTAACCCTTATGGACCCCTTTATAGGAACCCTAAACCCTATAATACTAGTACTAAACCGAGTTCATGTCAAACAACAGAAGGGTTATTTGTCCCGAACCGATACCTACACTAAACCCTTAACCCTAAACCCCAAAACCCTAACCCCTGCACCCCAAACCCCTAAACCCCTGAACCCCTAAACCCCTACACCCTAAACCCTAAACCCTAAACCCCAAACCCTAAACCCCTAAACCCCTAAACCCTAAACCCTAAACCCCTAAACCCCTAAACCCTAAATCCTAAACCCTAAACCCTAAACCCCCTAAACCCCCTAAACCCCTAAACCCCTAAACCCCAAACCCTCAAACCAAAACCCCTAAACCCTAAACCCCTAAACCCCTAAACCCCAAACCCCTAAACCCCTAAACCCCTAAACCCCTAAACGCCTAAACCCCTAAACCCCTAAACCCCCAAACCCCTAGCGAGACCTAGCTTACGCCTGAGCAAGACCGGCCTGAGCAGCTTCCTCTGCCTCGTGCGCCTGGCAAAGGGAGGAGCCTTACTTTCCTCAATAAGGGTTTAAGGGTTTAGGGTTTAGGGTGTTTTGTTTAAAGGCCCTTTTCTGTGAAGGTTTACTTGGAGGTTCGTGGGTGGTTATAAGTAGGGTTATAGGTAGGGTAACTATACTTGTAACCCATATTAAGGCACTTATCACCCTACTTATAACTACCCCTCAACCTCCAAGTAGGGGTCTAGGAGGTTAGGGTTTTAGGAAACAAATCGAAAAGGTTAATGCTACTAAACTAAAGCATAAGAACACCAACAACGTTTCAGGGTTGGGCATCGGAGAACTTTGGGGTGTTTAAGGCGGACTGGTGCCTGTTTGAGCATGTACCCTAAACCCTAAACCCTAAACCCTAAACCCGGGGTTTACGTTGGGAGAGTTTGCATGATTGAAGGGGTTAGGGTTGTTAAAGTGCTGAGGGTTCAGAAAGTCAGGATTTCGGGGGAGCTTTCATGTTGCCTTGTCTCATCAACTATCTCGAGCTTTCTGTACTATATGGGGGGTTTCCGATAATTAGGGTACCTCATTTTGGGGGTCCATATATATATATATATATATAATAAGATCCTACTACTTAGGATGCTATACAGTATTGGGGTCCCCAATTTTCAGAAACTCCCATATGATTCACCAGTCCACACCCGGCAAAATGAGAACGCCGCAGTGCCTAACCCCCTAAATCCCCCTAAACCCTCGGGGTATGGGGTTTACGGGAAAGGTCACACGGTTGTTGGGGTTTATGGTTGAGGGGAAGAGGGTCCTAGGGTTCAGGGCTTCAAAAAAAAAGGGTCTTCGGGTTTCGGGGTAAAGGGTCTTAGGGTTTAGAGTTGAAGGATGTTTTAGACCCATCTGGGAGTTTCCGAAAATTAGGGGTACCTTATTCGGGGGTCCTTATAATAAGGATCCTACTGTTTGGGTACTGTATTAGGGTCCCCTATTTTCTGAAACTCCCATCTCAAGGTACGCTTCTTTTCCCCGTGATGCACTGGCCTGCGTCCGAAGCAGCTTGATGAGCGACCACGCAACCTGGCTAGCTTCCATAGAGGCCCACGGGACTTAGTTGAAGCTGTAAGCTTCTACACGTTCGAGGGACTTGGTGAGAAGGGCTTTAAGTAGAACTTTAGCTGCCTTTCTTACTGGGTCACGTGATCGCTTCTCCCATTCAAAGGACCAGCTGTGCTAATAAATAAGGCTGCGCAGGCCTTCAGGAGCTTTAGATGGTGTCCTTGGTGTTTTACACGGGGCTTAAAGTGTACTTCAAGGGAGAGTTATGCGGCTTCCTGGGCAGTTCCTTTAACGCCAAACCCACACGCTGGTTCAGCCCCAACCCTGCACCTTGACACCGACACCCTAACCCCTAAACCCTAAACCCCTAAACCCCTAAACCCTAAACCCCTAAACCCTAAACCCCTAAAACTCTAAACCCCTAAACCCCTAAACCCTAAACCCCTAAACCCTAAACCCTAAACCCTAAACCCTAAACCCTAAACCCTAAACCCCACACGCCTAAATCGTGAACCCTAAACACGCAGACCCCAAGCCGATAGTCCCGAAGCCCCAGGCCCCACCTCACGAACGTCCGTGCGCGGAGACAGGCTCATAGAGAGCAGCAAGGAAGGCAAGTTGCCCTGAACCACCTTCGCTCAGGGTGTATAGGGTGTAGCGATTTAGGGTTTACGGGGTGTAGGGAGTAATAATATACAAGGGATATGGGGGCTTCTGGAGTGGGGCTTGAGGGTTTTGGGCTGTAAACGTCTGGGTTTAAGGTTCTGGGGTAGGTGGTTTGGGGGCCAGCCCTTTGGCTTAAGAGCTGGGGAGGGTTTAGGATTCAGGGTTTGCGGAGGCCACGCGACACCGCAGAGGAACTGGTCATCTTCATCGGCTCATACACGACCCTAGATGGAAGCAAGATGTCAGAAAATGATACGAGCAACTTGAGTCGGTGGACCACCTCGCAGCTTGCTTACCTCACGGTTGATGATATAAATCCTGCATTACCCATTATAAGGAGTATACCATACTTTTCATAGTTTGGGGTCCTTAAGGTAATGCAGGATTTATATCATCCACCGTAGTGCCGGGTTTAGAGCCGAGGCCTAGCTTAAACCCCAGATCCCGGCCATCAAGAAGCCGAGACACATGTGGGAGCTTCCAAAAATGAGGGGTACCCTATTTTGGGGTCCTTATAGGGATCCTACTATTAAAGTACTATATTAAGGTCCCCGATTTTCGGAAACTCCCATTTTACAACAAGCAAACAATCACCCCGAAGTCCGACACCCCGACGCAAAAGCCATGATCCTCGGGCCCTAAACCTCAAGACCTAGGTTTCTGAGTAACCCCTTTATAATATAAGGCTACCCTTTTTCCTGCTATTCGGTTTTAATAAGGGGACCCTAAACTAAAACGGGCAAAAGGGCACTACTCAGGAACCTAGAGACTCATAGTCCAAACCCGGAACACAAAACCCCAAGCCCCAACTAGACCCAAGAGTAACCTAGGAATAAAAAGGGTGCCCTTTTTTGTTTAAAGGGGCTTATAAGGGAACCTGAACCCTAAAAAAGGGAATAAGGGCCTACTCGAGGTCCTAGCCAAACAAAAAATAAAAAGAAATAACCATTTCCAAACCCTAAACCTCCAAACTCCAAGACGGGAGTCCAAAAACCCTGAGTCCTAAACCCCTGATCCCAAAATCACAGCAGCTCTAAACCCTCAACCCCTGACCCCCTTCAACTCCGGACCCCCTAAACCCTAACACTCCTAAATCCGCGAAAGAGCTGACTCCTGAATCCCAACCTCGCGGTGACGGCATCGAACCACCACCAAGCTCGTCAAGCGCACCAGGCGAACGGTCTGCAAGCTTTTCATGATATTTTGGGGGCTGTTAGGGTTCCAGACCGGTTCCACCAGGGTTCTACGCGGCACTGTGAGTTCAGGGCTTGAGGGTTAAGAGCAACGGGTTCGAGGGATAGGGATGTGAGGGTTTAGGGCTTGATGCTTCAGAATTTGGGCACTTGGAGGAAAAGCTTCAGCAGCCGCACCCTTTCTCCCAATTAGCCCGGAACATCCACTCAAACTTCATGCATCCAAGTCAAAGCTCAAAAGATTAACAACCCTAACACCCTAAACCACTAAAGCTCCATAAACCCTAAGCCCCAAACCTCTAAACCCAACAACGAAAACCCTGCCCAGTGCCCTAGCAGGGCTCCTCCGCATCAGAGACAGGACTGTCTGAAGCAAGTCCCTGGCCAGGCGCCCGGGGTTTACGATAGAGGGGGGGGGGGGGCCCAAGCCGGGGCGTATAGAACCCAAAACTTCAAGGGCCCCTATACTTTTAAAGGGAACTCCAGAAAGTTGGAATATGGATTAATGGTAGGATCCCCTATAATTTACCTTAAAGGGGTTAGGATAATGATATTCCAACTTTCTGGCTTCTACTGTATGAGATTTGGGGGGGTGGGGTTCAGAGCTTCGGGCTTAGAATTTCGGGCTTAGGGTTTGGGTTATAGGATTTCGGGTTTGGGGGTTAGGGCTTCGGGGTTGGGGTTTAGAGTTTTGGGTTTGATGTTTAGGGAACCATAAACTCTGAAACCTACAATTAAGATCCTACAGCCTAAACACTTGCAAAACAAATACAGCACCGAAACAAGTAAAAGACGCTGAAGCAACAAACCCTACATCTATAGGCCCTAAACCCGAAGGCCCGAAACCCTGAAACCCCTATGCCCCGAAAGCCTATAGTCGAAACTCCTACAACGCTAAAGTCCCACACAGAGCTACACAGACTTGGAGTTTCCCTAAGGATTGAGTGCCTCCTCTTCAATTTTCAAGGGCCCTGATACCAACCATCTCATTCTAAGCAACTGTGTTTGAGAGTTTCGGAGCAACCTCATATCCATCTTATACTCAAGTGAGCATAAACAATATGATATTGTTTACATCCTGCACCTCTGACCCAGAGAGACTCCATCATCCCTTAATTAAGGAATAGTCCTTAAAATTTATTAGGGGTCCTACTATAGTTTAAGGTATATTTCCGTAGTTAAGGGATGTTGGAGTCTCTGGGAACCTGAAACCCTAAACCCTATAGATCCCTGTACAGGGAACCCTTAAAGGAACCCTTATGGATCCCCAAACCCTAAAACCTAAATCCCGAATACGTAAACCCCTAAGCCCTAAACCCTAAACCCTTTATAGAACCCTTATAGATCCCTTTAAGGAACCGTTATGGATCACTTTAACAGGACTCCCTCCCCACCTGGCTCAGCAACGAGAAGACCTGGGAAATCGCAGACGGTCGCAGAATGCCTTCGGCCTTGCATGGGCGTTGGGGGTCCTATTAAAAAAGGAGCCGTAATAATTCGAATAGGATTCCTTAAAGGGTTCCTTGTAAAGGTGTCTATAAGGATTACAATAAGGGATACTTTGGGGGTTTAGTATAAGGGCCTTAATAAATCGAATATGGTTTTGGGGCTTTTAGGGTTTAGGGCTCCTTAAAGGGGTTTATAAGGGTTACCATAAGGGTACTGTAATTCAAGAGCCTTGCTAATTGGAATAGGGTTTTGGGGCCCATTATACTATATTATACACAGAAGCCTCCAAAATAGTATAGATAATTATTGAAGCTCCTACATTATGTCAGGGCTGGTTGGGTTCAGGGTTTAGGGTTTAAGGTTTGAGGTTTAGAGTTTACGGTTCAGGGTGAGGGTTCAGGTTTAGGGTTTGGGGACTATAGGTGAAACTTCTAAGGATTTCTCAGTATCAGAAGGCCCATGCAGGTTCTGGCTAGGATACGGCTGATGATATAAATCCTGCATTAGCCATAATAAGGAATATACCATAATTCCCATAGTTTAGGGTCCTTAAGGTAATGCAGGACTTATATCATCAACAGTATGGGGTGTACGTCTCTTAGACTGCAAGAATCGATATAATTAGAATAGGGCTTTGGGGCCCATTCTAATATAGTTATAAAAAGGAACCCTCACAATAATCATAATCAGAAGAAGAATGTCGTTGGTAACTGTTTAGGCCCCTACATTAAACGTGGCCGGTTTAGGGTTTCTAAGCCCCCCAAAATCACAAAAGCCGAAAACCCTGAAACATTAAATCCTGATTTTGGCGCTCAGCCCCAAGCCCCTAAAATCCCTAACCCTAAACCCTAAACCCCTAAACCCTTAAACCCTAAACCTCAAAACCTTGAAAATGTACTTGCTTCTCGGTTGACGCCACGGCTCTGGGTTTATAGGGTTTAGGGCAGGGTTCAGGGTTTAGGGTTTAGGGAGTGGCGCATAAGCGGAAGTATCTGACCGTTGGAGCCTGATCGTGGATGGCTCTTTCTTTTACCCGTGCCGTCTAAGCCGGCCAAACCACCCAAACCTATTCCTTTTCGGGCGCCCCAAGCTTTTCTGTATTTCGTCAACCGTCTTGAGGGCAGGTCAGGGCAGGCAGGGCAGGGCAGGGCAGGCAAGCACAGGCAGGCCAGTGCAGGACAGAGGGCAGCGGGGCGGGGCAGGGCAAAAAACCGGCTGGGTGGAAGGCTTGGGGTTTTGGGGCATTGACTTTATTCAGGGACCAGTACTGGTCCCGAGGAGAACGTGTTCCGGTACCGGGTACGACGTGCCTGCTACGGCCTACGGTCCTCATGGCTGCGGAGAGGCGGGCGAGCATACCCAGAGACTCCAATATCCCTTAATTAAGGAATATACCTTGAATTATAGTAGGATCCCTAACATGATTCAAGGAATATTCCTTAATTAAGGGATATTCCTTAAAATATAGTAGGATCATGATTTAAGGAATATTCCTTAATTAAGGGATATTGGAGTCTCTGGGTACCGGGTCGGTCTGCGTCATCGAGGTCGAGGGGCTTCAGCGCGGCCCCTCGACAGAGGTGGCCGAGGCCTTGAGTTTATAGGGTTTAGGGTTTAGGGTACGGGCTTTAGGGTTGAGGGTAGGGACTTTAGGGTTGAGGGTAGGGTTTAGGGTTTAGGGTTTAGGGTTGAGGGTAGGGTTTAGGGTTTAGGGTTTAGGGTTGAGGGTAGGGTTTAGGGTTTAGGGTTTAGGGTTTAGGGTTTAGGGTTTAGGGTTTAGGGTAGGGTTTAAGGTAGGGTGTAAGGAGCTAGGGCTCAGGAGAAAGAACGCAGTTCCGAGTTGCGCTTATAGCTTCGTTTCGAGGGCTTGAGGTAGGGTGCAAAGCTCGGGCTTGGAAATCACAAGCTCAGTGCTTGTACTACCGGCGCTTCGAGCTCTCCAGCTTGGACACGAAACCCTTAACCCTGAACCCCTAAACCCCTAAACCCCTAAACCCCTAAACCCCTAAACCCCTAAACCCCTAAACCCCTAAACCCCTAAACCCCTAAACCCCTAAACCCTAAACCCTAAACCCTGAACCCCTAAACCCCTAAACCCCTAAACCCAAACCCTAAACGCCTGAAGCCTACTGCACCCTGCTCTAAACCCCTACGTCCGAAACCCCTAAACCGCTAAACCCCTAAACCCTAAACACCTAAACACCTAAACCTCTCTAGGAAACAGGAAACCCAGAAAGAGCCTCCAAAGTGCCGGTGTGGAAGACGGTATCTTCGGGTATTGCGTTTGCCTCGCGGGTCTAGGGTTTGGGCTTCAAAGGGGTACAGGGGGTTGGCGTTTAGGGATACAGTAAACGCCTAAAAGTTGGAAACCCAATAGCCTCAGTCCTTAACAGTAATGTATAGGGAATCCCAGCACTATTTGGCCTTAGCAAAGTTTCCAACTTTCTGGGGTTCCCTATATGGGTTCAGGGTTTTGGGTTTTAAGGCGGGCGGTTCAGACTCGAGGGGTTTAGCTTAGGGTCGCGGTTCAGGAGCTTTGGGTTCCCAGAGACTCCAATATCCCTTAATTAAGGAATATTCCTTAAATCATGATCCTACTATATTTTAAGGAATATCCCTTAATTAAGGAATATTCCTTAAATCATGTTAGGGATCCTATTATAATTTAGCGAATATTCCTTAATTAAGGGATATTGGAGTCTCTGGGTTTTGGGGCTTAAGGGCTTTTCGTGAGCGCCTCTTTCCGGCTTAGGGGGGGAGCCGTGGGGTCTCGGACTGTTTACGTAAGGTTTCCGAGCCTTTTTTTGGGAAATGCAGAATTTATATCATCAACCGTTTCTATCAGAACAGGCCTTCTGGGTTCCTTGTACTATGTTTGCATAGAGACGATGAAGGAACTCCAAAACTAAATATCCAGATCCTCGAAGCCCCTAAACCTCAAATCCTAAACTCTGTAGCTAGGTCCCTAGGTTCTTGAGCAATTGACCCCTTAATAATAAGGGTACCCTTGTTCCTACTATTCCCTTTTAATAACGGGGACCCCAAAACAAAAAGAGCAAAAGGGTACTGCGGTTGATGATATAAATCTGTCTTACCCACAATAAGGAATATACCATATCTCCCATGGTCTGGGGTCCTTAAGGGTACAGGAACCTAGGTAAACGCCCTAGCCTTGCCTCCTCAAGGAGCCGACCCAGATGGCCGCTCCTGAGGGTGCTCAAAGCAGTGCTTCAGGGTTTGAGAAGTTGTTCAATCACTTCAAACAACCCCCCGAATAATAACAACTTCAGGGTTTGAGAAGTTGTTCAATCACTTCAAAATACTTCAAACAACCCCCCGAATAATAACAACACGTTGGAGCGAGCCCTCCCGAAATCACTCCTGCCGTTTAAAACTTAATTTGCATCGGGAGCAAGAGCAGGAGCAAGAGCAAAGGCAAGAGCAAGTGGAGTAAGAGCACAAGCAAGATCAGGAGGAAGAGCAGGAGCAACAGCAAGCGCAAGACAAGGCGCAGCAGCGAGAGCAAGAGACACAGCAGGAGCAGGAGCGAAAGCCTGCGCAGGAGCAAGAGCAAGAGCTCTCAAAAGTGCCAGTAGAGATATCAAAAAAGAACTCTAATCATAAAAACACTTTCCCAGTTTCTATTGGGGCCCCCCGTTTAATATTATAGGGAAAGGATTAATGGTGGCGAATAGGGCTTACGGTCTAGATGATGGATGTTGCTTAATGGTGACTTATGGGGTTTAGGGTTCTACAAAGGGTTCATATGGTTGCGTAAGGGTCTCTGGGTTTAGGGTCTTACAGGTCCTTGAACCTGAAATTCATGTGGGCCGGGGTTAGGTAGGGTATCTGTGGGTAAGCTTGGGGTGTGTTCTTTCCTCTGACTCTGACTGATTCTGAAATGCCGCTCCCCGCCCCCCTCCAACACACCAGCCTCGATCGTAGAGCCACAGCAACATCGAGGGACCTAGAGAAGGCACCTCCTTAAATGCAGCTAGGGGCGAGAACTGCATCTAGTCCCTGAGCCTGAAGCCCGGAACCCCGTACTAAACTTACCTTTGGTTAGTAAGGACTGGAGGAATGGGGTAGAAATACAACTGCTATTACTACCATTCTTCCATTCCCTACCAAGCAAAGGCCAGTAAACCGTCAGTGTAGGATCCTTACCCTAAACCCTAAACCCTAAACCCCTAAACCCTAAACCCCTAAACCCTAAACCCTAAACCCTAAATCTGGACCGAGGCGCAGTGCATTTGCCAAACGCTCGTCCAAGGATGGCACCCAAGGCATCGAGGAGTCCTGTGGGTTTAGGGTTTAGGGTTTAGGGTTTAGGGTTTAGGGGTTTAGGGTTTAGGGTTTAGGGTTTAGGGTTTAGGGTTTAGGAAGGTGCCTGGCAAAACCCTCGGCATCTAAGGACTCATACATTAAGGCTTTTGGGCCCAAAAACCATGCTATGTAAGGCTTCTGGGCTGTTTTGATGCCCAGGGAAAGGGTTGCAAAACTCAAGATACTAGAAACAAGGACTCTGGAATGTGGAATTTGGGGGGGGTTCTTGATAACAGGGCTAGACTGCTTAGGGTCCGCAAGATCAGGATCCCAGTAGCTTCGGTCCAAATAATTAAATAGGTGGGGTTAGGGTTTAGGGTTTAGGGGATTCTGCATTTTCTGAAGCTCCGGCTGAGTGTGGCGAGTGTAGCAGCAGCAGCAGCAAAAGCAGCAGCAGCGGCAGAGGTACTACGGCCGATGAGATAAGTCGAAATCCAATGGGCTTGGACGATAGGAATTATGGTATGTTCCTTATGATTATGGGTTATGCAGGATCCGTATCATCAACCGTAGTAGGTTTGGGGGGAATTGGGTTGTGGTACCTCAGCGGGTCTTCGGCTAGTAGGGCGGTGTGGCGGTGTGTTCAGCAACCCTGAACCCTAAAACCGCAAACCCTCAGCCCTCAACCCCAAACCAAAAAAGAGCCTAAACGCCGATAAAGCCTCACTTAACCCAAACATCCTACCTTTTTTAAGACTTATAGAAGGAAATCATAGCAAGGATCCCTAAACAGGGTAGGGTTCTTGTGGTCCAGGTGAACCCTAAAACTAAGGTTAGAAGTATGGGCCCTAATATAGACCCTTAGGCTTTTCTGAGGGAGTTCCAGGGACCCTGACGAGTCTATACAGGGTATGTAGTAGGTATATAAGGATCCCAGGGTTAAGGGCATGGTTTCAACCGTTGACTAAACCACTTAAAGGCTCATGGGACTTAGTAACTAAGGTTACTATTAGGGTAACTATACTAATAAGTACTTAGAACCCCAATTAAGGTACTTGTAACCATACTTTCTAAGTCCCATGATCCTCCAAGTAGGCCCTAAACCCTAAACCCTATAAATCCCTTTAAGGAGCCCTATAGATCCCTTTAAGGATCCCTTAAAGGAACCTTACTTACTATGTCCCATGATCCCCATTATAGAACCCCTACAGATCCCTTTAAGAAACCCATTATAGAACCCTATAGTACCCTTATTAAAAGGAACCCTAAACCTTACTTACTAAGTCCCATGATCCTCCAAGCAGGCTCCTCGGCCAAGCCAGCGGTCTTCGCGAAATGCGCAGCATTCCACCAAGCTCCAGCCTGGGAATGATGGGGTTTTGGGGTTTGAAGGTGTGGGGTTTAGGGTTTAGAGTTTAGGGTTTGGGGTTTAGGGTTTGGGGTTTAGGGTTTGGGGTTTAGGGTTTAGGGTTTTGGCTTCAGGGTTTAGGGTTTGGGCTTTAGGGTTTAGGGCTTGGGGTTTAGGGTTTGGGGTGTTGGCTTTAGAGTTTGTGGTTTAGGGTTTGGAGTTTTGGTTTTAGGGCCAGGTTTGCACGTTCGAATTCCAGGGTTGAGCGTCTCGATCGGGAGTGAAACTACACGGGTGGTTGTCAAAATTAGGGTCCCTTTTTGGGCCCCTATTATAACACGGCAGCACCAATTGTTGAGGGTACCCAAAAAGGGACCTGAATTTTGACAACTACCCATATAGTTATGGGTTCAGGGGCTTACAAGCCACATATGGGCGTAGGGTTTGGGGTTGCTCGCTAGATCCCAAAGGAGGAGAAATCTGAGTGAGTTTCCAGGAAAGCTTGCTGGGCATCTACATGGTCCCTTTGAGCCTACTTTTCGGGTATCATGGGGAGCTAAAGGTTAACCGTTTTGGTTGTATAGGGATTATAAAAAAGTTAAAGGTTACGTGCTCTACTACTAGGTAAGCTTGCATGATGACATTATAGTCCTGCTCTTGGCTGCAGCTGCCGGACCCACGACCATCCCTCGCAGAAGCCTCTGCAACTGCTCGACAACCTTGGGAAAGCAGCAGGAATCCTGCAACCAAGCACCAAACAAAATCCCACACCCCAAACAGCCCAAGACTTGAACTGAAACCTTGCAGAACACTTGTAGAACATGCATAGCACCCTTTCTGAGCAAAAGAACCCCTAAACCCCAAACCTCCTGCCGCCCCAGACGCCACGCAAAGCGCAGATACAAAGGCAGCGGTGCGCACCCGCGGATTTTCGTCGCTCTCCAGAAGGCCTGTGGCCTGAAGGGCATGGCTTCATACTTGGAGGTTCAGAGGTAGTTATAGACAGGGTTATAAGTCCCCTAATATGGGTTATAAGTATAGTTACCCTGCACATAACCCTACTTATAACTGCCCATGAACCCTAAACCCTAATCCCTAAACCCTATAACCCTATAGATCCCTTTAAAGGAACCCTACTTATAACTGCCCATGAACCCTAATCCCTATACCCTTATAGAATCCCTAGAGATCCCTTTAAAGGAACCCTGCCCATGAACCTCCAAGTAGGGGTCGGGGCTTCGGTTTCAGGGATTTCAGTTCAGCAATGGGGTCGTTTACGGTTCGCGGGGGCTGTTTACGAGATGTCTAGGGTTTAGGGTTTAGGGTTTAGGGTTTAGGGCTTAGAGTTCATGCAGGTCTAGGGCTTCCTCGCAGGATGTTGCGTGACAAGTGAAGCGTCACAAGTAAAGTAGCCACAAAGTACACGTCTAGCCTAAATATCAGGCAAATCTTTTTAAATCCCCTGAGGCTTTATGTACTCTTGGCTCCGAGGTTGTGTTTTGGTGTTTGGGGTGCATGGTTTGGGATTTGGCTGTGGCATGCAGGGTTGGGGATTCGTTGTTTTAGGTCTTTGGGGCTAGGCCCCAGCTGGGACTTAGGGGATCAGGCTACGGGCTCTGGGTGCTCGGCTAAATGCTAGTACAGGGATCAGCATAGTATTATAGTCGCTGGAGT